TTATCTAAAATGCATTAAATAAAATCAGTAAGTTTGTTGTCATTGTAAGCTCCGAAGTGTTTTGTTACACAGCGAAGAGTAGCACGTGAAATGAAAGAGTAGCATGTAACTTGTGAAAAGTCACACAATGAGCTAAACACTGTTGTTTTGGCTCAAAGAATGTTGTATGTTGTATCGTCTTTTGACCCATGCTCCACCCACTCGTGGGCAGATCTACACTCCCAAGATGACATTAAAAATGCTTAAAGGGCTTCGGCAATTTGGACTAGAGGAAGCTCCCTGGTATTCCCAGAGTGAACTCCTAGGCCTCTCAGGGAGGCAGACACTAGCCAACTGGTCTATTTACTTTATTTACTTGGCTTATTCTGTTTTGCTCTGTGTTTTGGTAGTGCTGGGATGAAGAGCCCTTCCAACGAGCTCCACCCTCGCCCCCAGTGCAGTCTTTAAGCCCCCAGTTCGGCTGTGTAAGCAACAGCACACAGAGAACCAGCTCTGCTGGACACCACTGCTGAGTTCCAGAATCAGGCCCTGAACAGTGCGGGAATTCACCTCCTCTCAGACCCCACCACTTCCCCAGGGCCTTCTAACCCATCCCACCCTGAAGCCACCACCTCACCCAGGCCAGCCCAGACATCACACAAAAGCCAGACTATTCGCAGATAATTTATTCAGAATTTTAATATAAACAAGTAATTATCCCATATTTTACATGCAGAAAAATTTCAATTACCCTCCCTCTAAAAAAAAAGGCATAGTCTGTACATGGTGCTACTCGGCTCTTGTAGGAAAACATTGAAAGATAATAATAATTGAGCTTTGGGTGGGTTTTTTTTTTTTGTTTGTTTCTGAGTTACTGTCTGCAAAAGCTGCGGCACACTGGACCCTGCGCTGCTGACACGCAGGGCTGAGGCCACCCAGGCACACTGAAGGGCAAGGAGCAGCAGCTTTGACACAAAGTACAGAGACCAAGCAAGCTATTCCTGAATACAGGCACAAATGCACACTCACCAGGGAGCCACCCTTCCTTCTCAAATGGGACCAACCCAGAGCCCTAACTTCACAAACTCATGTTTATCAAGGATTTTTAGGGCCCACACTTAGATAAAATTTGGCTGGAGCCTAGCTCTGGACTTTGATGGTTAGCAGACAGTGACAGTAAATGTCATTACACTCCCCCCCATGTCGCAAGGATCCCTAAAGATGCATTTGACTTCTGCCACAACTCCTGAAAGTCCATTGTACTTTTGTGTGTGTTCTGAACGGCTGTTGGCCTGTTCTTCCACTTTCCATCCTTACCTATGCTGTAAATTTGCATTCTGAAATCACACTCTTCCTTGTGCACCCTGTACATGAAAATCTGCGTGCACCTTCTCCCTACCCCCCAAAATCCATAATCTCAGAAGACCCCAAGTAGCAAGGACTCACCAGAGGGTGCTATAACACACAGAACCTCCGAGTTCCATCCATCGTGACATAGAAGAATAACTGGTTGGGACTACGGCACATCCATTCATTTGCCAGGGTGGATAGCACAGGCCAGGGTCTGATGCTGAAACTGCCCCGAGTCTTCCCAGTATTACAGTGGGCTGCAAATAAGCAGCTTCCAACCCAACACAGGCATCTCACGGTTCCTGAGCAGGACAGAGCGGGAGATCTGCCCACTGATTGCTGGCATAAGTCCCAGCAGTGGCAGCTTTAACATACAGGCCCCTGCATCAATTCCCATATTTTCTGTCAATTGTGCTCAGACTATATCCAGAGAACCAGCAACGCTTCCCCTCCATACTAACTTCCAATGACAGGACAGCACCTAGGACAGCTCCCCAGAAATGAACATTTCCTGGTATGTAACTGACATCACTGATCCGTGGAGAACATGATGCCTGGTATTCTTCTAGAAAAAGAATGATATCATGGGTTTCATGTTGTGAAGAGAAAAGGTTTTATAGTAGTGAGCCTTCTTTAAAAACAAACAGAAAGTATCAACTGTAATAATGCATTACTACAAACTCCCAGGACACCTGTGCCTTTCTACAGCCAAGGCTCTGTTGTTCCAAAATCAACACTGCCTTGTGAGAAAAGGAAATGTATAACCCTTGAACTGCTTACTCTTTTCCATGTAGCAGTGGACATCAGAAAATACAACAAAGTCCCATCTGCACCCGTCAGGCCCAGAGCTCTACTGCTCTCCAGTGAAGAAGGCTAAGCCTGGTAGGGCAGCGCCCACAAATACAAATGCAGCGAGGCTTGGAGGGTGCATGAGATGACACCCCTGCTGGCTCTGCCTAGTGTTTGCAAAATCGCACAAGTCAATCAGTACCAGCTTGATGTCAACACAGTGCCAAAGTTTTTCTTGTCGGAATAATGACAAGTTTTAGATCAGGATTTCCAAAATGTCTCCTTCCCACTCAGATAAAAACAGACATTGCTCGAGATGTTACAGATGAGGGGCCCAAGAATAGATTTGTTCTATCCACAGAGATTGTCACCAGTCTGAAAGGAGTGGGATCAAGCCATCAGACAACCTGGGCACTTTTGTGCCCACTTCCAGGGTACCTGGAGGGACAGGTGAGACACTGGCTGTGAGTCAAAGCTCATCTTGGCCTCAGCAGGACCAAGGCCACTGACCTCTCACCAAAGACCAACAGACCACATACCCCACAGATCAGACACATCGTCATGGCCTAAACTTGATTTACGTTTGGGGAGCGTGGCATCAAAGACGCAAGATTTCATTTTAGAAATGAAGATTAAATGGAGAGAATGTGATCAGCCAGGGGTTAAGGGCTATGTCCACATGAAGGCCACAATTGCTCCAACCCAATTCCCTCCCTCAAAATTCTGCCTGGTCCCTGGCATTCAGAACCAGTTGGTACCTGTGTTCCCTGACTGGATCCAAACAGAATTCTGAAATCTCAAAGATGTCCATATTGAACCACATCCTAGCAATACACTGAGGTAGACTGTGCTGATAAAAAAAAATCATGACCCACATTAACCTGTTTATTTTTCCTTGGTAAAAATTTACATGCACTGTTTTTGTACGAAAGTGATTTTAGAGTGATTTTTATATATTAAAATAAATACTTTCCCCAAGTAATATAAGAAAAACCTTTCTGAATTAGAAAAATGTGAAAATTGTTGCTACCGTAGTATATGACTGCTACAAACTTACTACGAAAAGAACAAAATACCTACATCTACATGTGTCTTTAATTTACGTAAAGACCCTCTTCTATTTACAAATTAATTTGGCAAAAATTATTTCTGTACTCTTGCTTCTCGTACCACCACAGATGTCACCCAGCCATACTCTACACACTGTGATTTCTCAAATCATATAAATTACAGCCATGTGCAATTGGGATTTGTGTCTACCTGTGTTCTGAATTACAAATTGAAAGAGTCCAGAGGTTGCCATTATGTCTCTGTCCCACGACGAAGAAGAGAAGGAAACAATCAAACACCTAGGAGAAAAGGCAGTGGGGGTGACCCACGGGCGATGATCCTGATGAATCCAGAGGCGCATCCACCACATTCTTCACTTGAGCAGCTGTGGTTCTTTTCACATGAAGAAGCGGTGGGTTCACATCCACATGGAAGTTCTCATTGATGGGAAGGCCTGTGATGGTTTCTTCTCCAGAGCTGAAGTTTCTTAGGGATGCAACGTTATAAGTACCTGAGAAATATGCTCAGGCCCCACATCTGGCCCAGCTGTAGTCCCAGGGCACAGTGTAACTCTAGGAGTTTGGTTCTGAGGACAGCCAGATGCCCCAAGAGTAGAGGGGCACTGGCACATATCCCCAGGCAACTCCTGCACTATTGCTTAGTGTTTCTGAAGTCTGTCCATGTTGTTGGTCTTCAGGATCAGATTTTGCTGTGTTTGCATAATAGCTAAAGAGGGTTCACCCCCAGGAGAAGTGCCTTGAGGTAAGGTACACAGAGAGAGCCAGTGGGTGAACACAGGCATTCTCCAAGGCAGGCCCAGCTCTAGGTAATCGCCAGCTTGTCCAAGCTGGGAACTTTCAGCAGACCTTAGGGTCTGGACCAGATCATCCACAACACCCAGTCGCCCTCATACTCCACATGGCCTCACGATGTCCAAAAGGGTTAGCAGCTAATGTGGCTTCTCAGAAAACGGATGCCTTTAACCAAGCAAGGAGGACATTCGTGCCTCACTCCCTCCCCTCCACAGGCGGGCCCACACACCACCCCCACCCAACACCCAGGAAACAGTCAATAACTTAGGAGGCTAATGCCAGATATGGCTGAAAAATTAAATACATTGCAAATGTATTCTCAAGACCCTTGTCACCTCAGTTCTTTCTTCCCCCTCCTCCTCCTTTTTCTTTTTCCTTTGTTTTGTTTTTTGTCATTGTCATTGTTGTTGTGGCTTTTTTGGTCTTCTAAAGATCTACAATCACTCCAAACTAAATGCTTCTCGCTCAGCTCCTAGAAAACGTTTTGTCACCAAAGGGAAGGAAGAGCAGACACCTGAGGGAAGGCTTCTGACATGACAAGAACCTGTCAAGGGCGCTCTCCCATAAATACCAAGGAAGGGGAGAGAAGGATGTGAGCTGAAACACAGCCAACAGCAGAACGTGCATGGACCAGGACCTGAAGCATCACTCCAGCAGGCAGTCGGCACACACCCCACACACAGCCCGGAAGTCTAACCTGGCCACACGCGTGCCCCGATGCACACGCGTGGACGTGCTCACACGTGCGTGAGGACTGCACACCCTTTATCAAAACTATGAAAGCAGCAGCTATTGGTCAACTTGAGGAACTGATTTCGTGAGTAAGAAAAATAAAATAAAATCCTTCCACCTGGATGAGAAAAACTGTCTTCTCAAAGCTCACCCCATTGAGCTTGGAATTCTCTCGGAACAGGGTTTTGCATCTCCTTTCTGACCAACCTTTGTTCCACAAACAAGATTTGTTATAGCTCAGACACCAGCAAAAGAAAAAAAGAAAACCTTTGTAAAAACAGGTACTCCTTTTTTTCCAATCTCCTAAAAAAAACAAAACAAACAAAAAAAAAAAAAATCAGAAAAAGAGTCCTTGTTTGAAACTGTGTAAGCCAAAAAAGGCAGCAGCCATGGAAACCCCTTCCCCTCTAGGTTCACAGATAAGTCCTCTGACGAGCTGAGTCGGCAGTCGCACCCCTATGCTTCATGTCAAAGGAGAAACAGAAATGTCCAGGAACAATCTGAGCTCCGTTTGATATCAGGGTAGAGTCGCGAGAATCCTGAGTTTTCTGGAGGTGTTCAAACCAGGGGGAAGGGGAAAAGCACGGGAAGCCCTCCCCCAGGCGGGCGCTGTTAGGACGGGCTCGACCGCGGCAGGGGCAGGATCCGCCCGTTCTTCTTGCCTCCGTTCATGTGCGTATAGGGGATGTGCTCTTCGTAGCTGCGCTTGATGACCAGCGAGGACCCTCCCTCCCGGCCCCCCGCCTCCTCCCGCTGACAGTGTGAGGACCGGTCCAAGGGGACATTCTCCATGTCCTCGAACTCCAGCTCTAGCTCCTCGCTCTCAGGAGCCTTGTTCTCCTCGCTGTGGAAGAAGGAGACTTCTGGGAAGCTGGGGTGAAGGTCGTCCTTCAGTAGGTTGACGATGTCCAAGAAGGTCGGCCGCATCTTAGGGTTGAACTGCCAGCACATGCGCATCAGGTCAGTGCTGTGGGACGCAGAGGGACACACTGCGGTGAGTCTGGGGGCCCGGCCAACCAGCCCTACCTGCCCAGGGAGGCTGCGCTCTCCTGCCATGTGGAAGCCCCATGGAAACAAACCCAGAGGCAATTCTAGGGGTTCTGGAAGACCGTTTTATTTGTTGCCCAAGCTGCCTTCGAACTTCAGATCCACCTGCCTGGACTTCCAAGTAGGCTGGGGTTGGGTGTGCACCGCTGTGTCCAGCTGGGTGTACGGAACCCAGACCCGGCCTCGCGGCGCATGCCTATAACCCCAGCATGTTAGGAGCTGGGACAGGAGGACCAGAGTTCAACTCCAGCATGTATAACTTTGCAAGACTCTATCTCTAAATAAATAAACAAATGACTTGGCTACAGCTCAGTGCAAAAGCCCTGGAGTTCCACTCTCACTACCAAAATAAACAAAAAAGCCTGAAAGGCTCTTTCTGGTGCCAGAAAGCAACCTTTTACACATCCTTGACGGCTACTACCTTGGAATTTGCGGAGGCTGCGCTCCTATCTGGGGCTGCTCTGGAGGATTCTCTGGGCCCACCAGGAATTCCAGGCTTACAGGCCACCTGGAGTGGTGATAGCTGAGCCGCACACAGCAGGTGCAATCCTCAGGGGCTCAGCTTTGAGTGGACTTAACAAAGACTCCTTCCTCCCCCTCCAGGAGGGGGCAGGTGGAGCTGTAGCTAGGGAGCCAGCCCCTTCCTGGTGGGCTACACAGTATCTACCAGAAGGAGACCCACCCACAGCATCTACCCAAACACAGGGGCTGGGCCCATACCTCCCAGGCTGCCCTGGGACCTACAGGCCACAGGAGCTGGTGGCCTGGGTTTTCTGTTTTACCTCCTTCTGTTTACTCTCTGCCTCCCGCTAGGGCAGCAACTGACAAGCACCAGCCTTCTGACCCAATCCAGCCCCCTGAGTATGTTTATAAATAATGTTTTGTGCCTGCATTGTGGTATGGTTTCTGTCTTACAAGTCTGAGCACTGGAGGTTTGGTCTCTAGTGTTCAGAGGAAGGGGTCTTGGTGGCCTGCCAATTAAGCTCAGTTGTTTAAGCAACTGCACGTGCAAATGTAGTCAGGCACAGGATACTGCAGGGGTTCAACCCCCACCTCCACCTGCCTTATCAAACCCACCCTTAAGGCAGCCTGAGCCAGCCAAATAAAAAAAATCTTTCTCAGAGATAACTCACTTCACAGTTTGTCGCAGAAGTTTTTTCAAACTGATGTCTGATTTTGGCATTAAAATGATCACCCTCCATAAATTTTCAGAAGAACAAAGTATAAAGAATGACAAAGAAATCTCTACACAGTAGTAAGTACTCACTGTAGAAAGCTGAAAACCACCCCCAAAATGCTGTTGCTCCTTCAGCTGGCATCCCAGGTCCTCCCTACCTGGCACACGTGGAAGTGGAACGGAGACCTACTTCCTCCACTTGAGACGCTAATACAAGTTTCTACTCTGGGTTCAGACATAGCCTCATAAGGGTCCCTGGAGGTCTCAGTTGTTGTGTCAGATTAAAATTATCAGTGGTCTTTAGAAGTCTCATACTATTGGATTTTCAGTTTGTTCCGTTTTGCTATTTTACAACTTCAAATGACATTGCCCTGCATAGCTAGTACGACAGTGATGACAATGGTTATCTAACGACACCATTTCTTCTTTTCTTCATTTTGGCTTTTGAGGCAAGGTCTCACTATGAACTCACTCTGGAGCCCAGGCTGGCCTAGAAGTCAAGGTGGTCCTCCCGCCTCAGCTTCCAGAATGCTGGAACCATCGGCACACACTCGCGTGCCTGGCCTCTAGCGACACCATTCTGTCACTGCGTATTAGAACTCCTTGTCTTTCTTCCTTTTCATCATTGCTTTTTTTCTTTCCTTCCTTTCTTTTTTTTTTTCTAATTTTAGAACGTGGTATTTTCTTTACATTTATTGGATCACTAACAAGGGTAGACGATTTTCCTAATACTTAATGGCATGTGTTCACCATTTCATTCTCTAACAAAAATTTAAAACAAAATATTGGACTGGCCAAGTAGCTCAGCAGATTAAAGTTCCTGCAAGCAGGCCCAGGGGCCAGGGGTTCAATCCCCAGGCCTGCCATGCTGGCCCTGCCGCCAGGGCGTGCAGAGATGGCGATT